GGCGAGCCACGCCCGCTTGAATAAACGCGCATAAACCACGCCCTTTTCAGATAGGCGTGGTGTTTCACGTGGCCGCCACCGTGCGCTTCGACGAGACGCTGCAGCTGGCGACGGCGATCAACGTGCGCAGCGTGCGCGACATTCTGCGGCTCGCCCGCGCCATGCCACGCCTCAAAGCCTTGCTTCATGTGTCCACCATTTACGCCAACTGCGTGCACAAATCGATCGAGGAGCGCGTCTATCCGCCCGCTCTGGATGGGGAGCAACTGATCCAGATCACCCAGAATCTACCCGCGGGGGCGTTGGAGAGGATCACTCCCGAGTAGGTGCAGGTGGGGATGCAAAGGGCGTGTCCTGTGAGTAAAGTGGGGGACTTTTCCAGCCTGCTCGGCGACTACCCCAACACGTACACCTTGACCAAGCAGGTGGGCGAAGGCGTGGTCCTGGCGGAGTCCACCGGGATGCCAGTGGCGATTTTCCGGCCAGCGATTGGTAGGGGGGCGGTGGGAGGCTGGCGCCTCCAATTGGCTAAAACTGTCGATCTGTTCCAGTGGTTTCCACCTATCGGGAGCCGATCCCGGCCTGGATCAACAACATGTACGGGCCGACTGGCGTCACGGCGGCGGCAGGCGTCGGTTTGCTGCGCACGCTCCACTGCGACGCCCGCGTCAACGCCAACATCGTCCCCGTCGACATGTGCGTCAACTCCCTCATAGTGAGCGCGTGGGAGGTGGCTGCGCGCTTCCAACCAGGTAAGCCCCGCCCCGGGGGCGTGCCCCACGCCCCCTCCAGCCCATCGCTTCCAGCCGGCCCGCTCGAGCTCCCCGTCTACAACTACGGCTCCACGTCGGCGCAGCCCATCACCTGGGGCGACTTCCGCACCGCCAGCAGGACCTTCGGCATGCAGTACCCCACCATCAAGTGCGCCTGGTATTACAGTTTCCACATGTACAAGCACTACGCCCTCTACTATCTGGCGTCGCTACTGTTCCATGTCATCCCCGCCCTCATTGTCGACGTGCTGCTCTTGTGCGTGGGAAAGGCGCCCAGGTCTGCTATTGGCTGGCGGGAGACGGGGCGTGGCTTGCTCAAGGGGGGCGTGGTTGCAGGTTGCTGAAGGCCTACAAGAAGATCCACAAGTTCACGGCCGTGATGTCGTACTTCGCCACCCAGGAGTGGAGCATCGAGTCGACGGCGATTGAAAAGCAGCAGCTGGCCATGAGCCCGCAGGATCGTCGCCTGTTCTTCTGCGACCTCAAGCTGCTCGACTGGCCCGAGTTCTTCCAGAGCTACTGCAAAGGGATCCGGCTCTATCTGCTGCAGGATCCGCTGGAAACGCTTCCGGCCGCCCAGGCCCACTTAGACAGGTGACTTTTGACGCTACGCTACTTCCCCGCCCCTTTTCTGACCCTTAGTGGTGGGGGCGCTGTTCCAGGCTCTACTACGCCCACCAGGTGCTGAAGGGCGTGGCCCTGTGGGCGCTGATCTGGATCGTCTGGCGCCTGCTGCCCTTCTAGAGCCCCAGCAGCGGCTGTTTTGGCCTTGAAATAAACCGCATTCTTGCAGTAAATGACCGTTATTGACCTTAACCTCCGGCTCTTCTCGGCGCGGCCGATCACACGGAAGAAGTGTCATCGACTTTAGTAGTAAACGCGATGCCGCTCGGTTTAGTCTTGTGGGCGCTGATGGGGGCTTTGCTGGTGGGGGCGGCGCCCTCAAGGGCCCCCTCAAACCCGGCCCACTACGACCAGAAGCAAACGGGCGACTACAACATACATGTGCACTTGCAGGACTTCCAGATCATCGCCCTGTTGGGCGGCGACCCTTTTTCGGTGAGTCCCTTTGGCGCGCTGCGCACGTTCTGATTGGCTGGCGCCGCCCTTAGGAGGAGGAGTTTGAGTACGACTATGCCGACTTCACCATCAAGCCCTCGACGACTACTGGCGCCCCCACGGGGGCGCCTCTCCAGACCGGCACCACGACAAAACCGCCCCTTGTCGAGCAGGGCAACTCAACTGCCGGGCAAATCAAGGTGCAGATCCTGGACCCTTTGGGCATAGTGCCGGGGGAGGACGTGCACAGCCCCCCTAATGGGGGGCTGATTGGGGAGCTGTCCAGGTGCGGAGCGGGCTTCGCCCGCGACCAATCCGGCCGCTGCCGGCGG